CATCGCTTTCTGCCTTTTTTTTGCCGAGGGACTGCCGGTGAAGCAAGGAGGGGAGGGGTCGTGGCCATCGAGCGCATGAAGAGAGGAGTGAATTAGAAGAGGAGGGTGGAGGAGAGCCATTCTCCCCCCCCAAAAAAATACTTCTTTCTCTCGGCCTCTCCCCTTCCATCCATCCACCCACCCAGTTGGGAGCCAGAGACGGACGGCGGGGGCCCAGGGGTCGGGCGGAGACGACGGTGCTGGGGNGAGACGACGGTGCTGGGGCTGGGTGGGCGCTTCTCCCGAGGTCCGCTTCCCCATCGGCTGAGAAGTCCCCGTCAACATGGCGAGTGATTCTCCGGCGCGGAGCCTGGATGAGATCGATCTGTCAGCCCTGAGGGTAAGCAAAGCAGGACGGCGGGCGGAGGGGAGAAGAGGGGGAAAAAAAACAATAACACCCCCCCTACCCGTCGCCCTTTCCCCCTTGTGCCCCTTCATCCGACACGGGTTCCCGTTTCCACGTCCACCTTGCGCCCCCGTCGCTTCGTTTTCGGAGCAGCCGAGAACTTGACGAACGGGGAGCTGCTGGTGGGTATAATACGGACATTTAACGCAACATTATTGGTGCTGAGCATATATATATTTTCTCACCAAACGCACGCCGATGTAGGTTTGTCTCTGCTCGCTGAAGAGTTCTGGGGGTGAGGGACGGTTAAGTGTTGATGCTCTTGGGGAATTAAAATTGGTGGCCGTGGTGGGGCTAAAACGGGAATAAACCTAAGATAGCTGGAGCAAAGACCGACTCTTATCTGGTGTTTTTCCTCCTTTGGTTCCCTGGCTGCACATATGCCAGATGTAAAATGGATGGAAGGGTGGTTTGAAATGCAGCCTGTTCCAGGGATTAATTTGTCACCTTTTGCAAATTTGGAAGGCAGTTTAATTTAATGCTGTACTTACGAATCCAGTTTTCTCTTCCCCCCCCCCCCGCCCCCATCTTCCACTATGGCTCAGCACCAATAAGCTCTGGATTTGAATTAAGACACATGTGATGTTTCTAGGCAGCGTTTTTATTTTAAGCGGGTGCAAGCACAATGTAACGTTCTGTCACTTGGAAATGCTTTTAATTCCCTGTTAGCCTTGGTTAGCTTCCCCAGTCTCCACCACTCTCTTGACTGTTGCATCTTAAAGCTTATTTGTGAAAACAAAAGGAAAACAACCCTCTCCATAACAGATAAAAGGAACACAAATGTGTATTCCTCTGTGGGGCTAAGAGACATGCCATTGGTTTAATTTCTCAACAGTCATGCATAACCATAGATTATGGTGTGTGCAGTAGCATGCTCAGATGCTGTTGGTCCTGCGTGAACCTTCAAGACTGTTGTAGTGTCCATTTTGATGGTATTGTGAAATGGGATGCTATGAACCTATTAATGATCCTTTTCCATTTCTCTTGAGGGGAGGGGGTGCCCCTCCTGGCTATTCTAGCCACCTGACATACTGCATACATCACATTATGGGCTGGGCAGAATGGATTGAATCAATATATTGTCACAGGCATCAGATTGATGTTATGCACAACCTTTTCTGCAATGGTCAGGCTGCTAACGAAATGAACGACTTCTTGGCTCTTTAAAATAGAACAGGGCCATAAGTGTGTGGTCCTCTGTTGTTCAGCTTGATGCATCCACCTCTCTCCTTGCAGGACAATTAACGGTGCTTAGGAAAGGTGCTTAGGAAGGAAGCTGCCCTATGGGTCCACTGGTCTATTGTCCAGGGTGCCAACTCTGACCGGAAGCAGTTATTTGGGATATCAAGCAGAATTCTTTCCCAGCCATGAACCTTCTGCATGCAAACACATGCTCTACCACTGAGCTACAGCTTCTGGCTGGCTTGATAATCAAGTCAGACCATCAGAGCATCCAGTCCAGTACTATGCACCTTGGACTTTCCGGATCCACTTTCTTTTCTTACTAGGACCACATGTTCTGTTAACTGAAACCTTGTGCATAAGGTGTACCCTTTAGCAATAAAGGAACATGTCCTGCTCTTTTATAGTGTTTTGTTTTGTTTTCAGACTACTGCAACTAATGGCACAAAATTTTGCTCCTTGTTAACGAGATTATAAAGAAAGATACAAAGGCAGGGAAAGGGTTAATTTGTTGCATCTGTTGTGAAAACATCGATCTTTGCTAATATTCTGCATATCATCCCCAAATCTATTAGCAGATCCAGATCTTCCGTGATCCATCACTGTTACTTGTTCTTCATTGGCTGATAGTGGTTTCATAGGGTTACAGGGAGAAGTCCCTCCCTGCCCCCCGAAGTGAGGAAATAAATGTGGGGCCTTCCGTGTAGAAAGCATACGTTCTACCATGGAGCAGAAATGCTGTTCTTACTCACTCTTCTAAAAATAAATACATAATGTGAATTCTTCATTTGTAGAATTATCTACATGTGATGGAGGAAAGGAGGTTTCCATTCTTTGGACTTCTGACTTTTCAACAACGTCACTGAGCCCTCTGGTGTTTACTTTCAATGGAGGGTTTGGTCTGGTTTCAGCCCTGGAAATATGTGGAGTAAGGAATACACACAACATGTGTATCCCTATTCCCTGCCCTATAGGATTAGAGAGAGGATTTAGGGGGCACATTGTTTGACTGCAAATAAGGTATGGTCACTTTTGATAAAATGAATGGACCAAGTTTTGAATAACTGTGTCATCATGGCATTATGTCCTGTTTGTGACTGGTGTTGGTCTAGTGCAGGGGTTCCCAACCTTTGAGTCCCCAGGCTCCCAGAATCCTTCATCACTAGCTGTGCTGACCAGAATTTCTGGGAGTTAAGAGTCAAAGAACATCTCGGGACCCAAGATTGGGAACCACTGGTCTCGTAGAATGGAGGAGAGGAAGTGACTGCGTCATCGTGGCATTATGTCCTGTTTGTGACTGGTGTTGGTCTAGTGCAGGGGTTCCCAACCTTTGAGTCCCCAGGCTCCCAGAATCCTTCATCACTAGCTGTGCTGACCAGAATTTCTGGGAGTTAAGAGTCAAAGAACATCTCGGGACCCAAGATTGGGAACCACTGGTCTCGTAGAATGGAGGAGAGGAAGTGCTGGTGGAACTGTTTCTTGAGACATGGTTCCAGTCCTCCTGCATTGTGATTGCGCAACCTTATACTGGGGTTGATTTCACAGTGAGAAGTGGGGGCCGGGGATGCAGATAGAGACTGATATAGAAAAACAGATTAAAATAAATGTAACAAAACTGTGATTTAGTTGCTCCCCTTCCTGCCCTTGGTGCTGTTGTTGTGCTTTGCTTTGTAATGCAGAGGACCTCGCTGGGATATCAAATCTTAATAAGAGTTTCTTCTTCTGCACTCCCTAGTGCCATTGTGTTACTTAGGTTGTCTTCGTTGTGCTAAAAGGAAACAAATTGGAAAGGGTTTGTGCGGTGTTTCATGTTTGTAGACCACACAGACCATTGTTTGTTTGGCATCTTATTTCTTCTGCTTAAGCAAACTATATTTTGTCCAGATGTAAAACAAAAATGTACCTTGTGTGTGAAGTGCCATATGTATTCTATTATTATCAAACACATTTTTATTTATGATGCTATCTGTCTTCAAACGAGTTGAATGATGACATTTTCTTACCTCAGTGGTTTTTCAAATGTGCCTTAGAAATTACCTTACTGCTTATATAGTTCCACCCATTTTATACATAGGAGCTCTGTCATATACCAAGATAGGCAATATATCCCAGACACAGATTCTTCCTATTATCCAGATTTTGGGAGAATTGCTTTTTTTTTTAACTTAAAGCATCCATTGACTGTAAGTGATTCTGGGAGTTTTGGTAGAGCACAAGTAACTTCTCCAAGCTCTGCTTTCACTAACTAACTGAATCCTTTTAAAATGGAGAAGCAGAGGTTCAAAATGGGTGTTTCTGATATTTTCTGCTGAAATGAAGGAGTAGGCCTTAACGAGATGGTTTTTTGGGGCCAAGTTGTGGATCAGTCAAGATATGAATGATCCCAACTCAGAGATACTGGCACTCCAGAAGGCAAGTAGACAACATCTCTGCCATTTATACAGATAGAAGGCTTTATTGGGAAACAAATATTTAACTGCATACTTTCATATATTGTAGCTGCAGGTGCTGGTTTATCAGAACCTTGAAAGATGTTGCATTTCTTCTTGCTACATGACAGGTGATAAAAAGCTATTCCATAG